ACCCAGCCTTCTGACCTTCCCCTCCTCCACCATTACCAACGGCTTCCATCTCATAGCTGAAAGGCAGCTATTCACCTCCAGACAGCCACGGCAGGGAAAGCCCAGGGCCACAGGCAGCGCCTTTTTACAAGACTATATTTTGGGGATTTGAGTGGTTGGGGGAGCCAGAACATCTCTGGGAAGGAACTTCTGCCCACGGCTCATCGTCCAGAATTGGGTTTCATGACCAGTCCCTGGCAGTGGCCGAATTGGAAAGATAGATCTGTGTGTGACTGGGCACGGTGCCACCCTAAAAAAAAAGCAATTCTGATGTGTATTAAGTGGTCATCAGTGTTTGCCAGAAACGACACAATTTCCATGGCTGACTTGTATTTTTTAAATTACTTTGTGAGATGGTGATACAGGATTTTGCTGCCATGAAGAGAAAAAAAAGTAAGGAAGCTCAAGAGGCCAAATCAGGAATGTTGAAAGTTTGAGGCCAGCCTAGGTTTCATCCAAGCCCTTTTTGAGGAGGGGGAAGTAGAGGAGAAGGAAGAGGAGGAGGCAGAGGGCAAGGAGAGGAGGGAGGAAGAGGAAAAAATAATAAAGGAAGAAAGGAAGGAAGGAGGGAAGGGAGGGAAGTTTACCCAGCAAAACAGCAATGTGGTTTCATGGTTCTTCTCCAGCTTAACAGATAAGAATCAGCCATGAGCACTTGCTCATTGGGGTCCATCCGCCCAGCACTGAGCAAAAGCTACCATCCAGCTTTCCTGAGATGCTGCTGCAAGGCAGTCTCATTGCTGAGAACCAATTGCACAGAGTCCTGTTTGTTGTTGACTTTGGCACTGACTTATAGCTTGAAGGAGCTTGACTGCGTCCACGGGTCAGCCTGCACTCCCCCAGCCTCTAGCCAGGTTACCCCGGACAGTCACCCACGCTCTCTCCGCATCCTGCTCCTTGTGCGTGAGAGAACATGGAACTCGATGGCAGCTCAGGTTCTTTGCACCTAGCTGGAAGCAGGATGGAGACTTAGTTACTATGGAAACTGCTCTCAGCCCTGTGTGTTGTGGGGTGCGTGGGGCGGGAGAGGTCTGCACTTTATGCTTTTTTTTCGCCTTGCAAAAATGAATGATTTGGTTGCAGATACCCGAGTGCTCTGCTTGTTCTGACCAAGAGAGTTTGATAGAGCTCCCTTCCGGACTTGACCAAAGGGTGTCATTTCCTGGACCATTTTGGAGACATGCTTGACAATTTGTCTCTCCAGAACCTGGGTGTGCAGTGTCCAGAAGTAGTGACACAGAAGTCTACTTTGCTAAATTTGCTAAGCATTAAAGTTTGAAATGAGACCAAAGATGATCAGAGCTGTGAACTCTTTTATGTCTGACAATCTCCATCCAGTGTTTTTAGTCGCTCACATATTAATCCCCCCCAAATAATAAACAATTGCTAAATTCTATCTTAGCAGTTCATCCCCACAAGCAAAACTATCCCAATCTGAGAGAACATCCGCACTGAGAGCTGTAAGGGGACCTGGTGGAGCGGTGGGGACCGCCGTGAACTCCACCCCCACTATCTTGTGCAGGGTCACTAGTGCTAAGCAGGAAGGACACCCCACCTGCCATCTGCATTTGGCTTGTCCCCATGCTGCAAGATAGACCTGAGCTAAAAAGCTAGAGATTGAAAAGTTACCCTAAATTGAAATGGCCCTTAAAATATGTTTAAAAGTATTTTAAAAGAACTGCAAGTACTGGAATGCCAATAAGCACCAAAGAGGCCCAAGACACAGCTGACTCTTCAGTAGTGCCTCTCAGCAGATGAGGTTTCTAGAAAGTTCCATGAGCTACATGGAAGATGATCTGATAGGTAAGGTTTCCGAATCTCACATGAGTCACATCTCAAAAGCTTTGCAAGCCTTGATGATGAAAGAAAATGGATCCAGATACACGATGTCACCATGGAGACCCCAGTGGCAGGGAGCATCTTCCTCCGTGGTTGGCCGATGTCATGTCTGTGGATCAGTTATTTATGGGTTGAGGTCATATTTTGGCTAATATATTGCTCACAGCTTTAACCAAATGAAGCTTCCTTTCTCAGCGGTTTTCTTGCCAAAGCTAGGTTGGGAGGTAGTGCTTGGAGAGGCGTATCAGAGAATGTGGGGTCCCTTCCCACAATACAGTGCACCAGACAAGCGGAAGCCAACCAAGTGCCTTCCTTGGCCTCTTGTTTTGAGCTGTGTTTGGGAAAGTTTTGTTTGCTTGTTTTATTACCAGACACACCCCAGATGGTAAGGAAGAGCCAGGGGAGCATTCTTGGATAGCAACTAGTTTACTCCTGAGAGAGTTCCCTTTTAGAATGTTCTCATTTGATCTTCCTCTTGATCTTCCTTTGTCCTAACTTGTGACCTGTGATGGGTTCCCATTTCTTCAAGCCTGGAACTATCACAGGTTCACCTCTCTTTTTCAAAAAAAGAGAGGGAGAAAAATCCTAACATCTGTGAATTGTTGCGAAATCTGCATCTGTCCACTTGTAATCTAAGAATATATATCTAAGCATCTAAGAGCCAGCACTCTCTTAGAAAAGAAATAGCTGCTCTGTTTACCATAGCCTTTACTTTTCATTTTGTATGGCTCGTTTGTGTAATAAGACCATGCTCCATCATCTCAGCCTCAGTTTCCTTATATATAAGAAGAGATGTGGTTCAGGCACCCTTTTGAACCAAGGTTTGGGGCAGGTTAGAAACTTAGGCAGTGTGGAAACTATTCTCAACCTTACACAACTGTAGAGGACTCTTTGGTGAGAGAAGACTTGGAATGAACCCGTCATTTTATCCTTATGCAAATGGAAGCATTGATGTTCTAACAAGCAGAGTTTGGTCGTGCTTCCTCCAAATTCTATCAGATGGGTGTATTTCGTGGAAAGTTTTGGAGGTATGCTTGATTTGATGGCTTTTATCTTCCCAAGGTTTCATGCATGAAATGAGACTTGCCCCCTTTGATCACTAGGTATTGAGAAGCATAGTTTCTCATGCTGTGTCTTTGCCAGTTAGACTTCTGCATTATAAGAAAGGAGCCTGGGTTCACTATCAATGGAAAGAGCTGGGAGATTTGCATTGATAGTGTCTGATTCTCCCAGCACTGATCCTCCTCTTCCAGCAGTACCATCGAGGTGAAAGTGCTCCATCTTGTACAACCTGTCTGCTTCATAGAAAACAATGCCTTAGTTAGAGGTATATAGCTCCCTGGTGGAACTTTACCTAGCATGAACAAGGTCCTGCGTTTAATGCCTGGTGGAAAGAGGGAGAGAGGAGGGAGGGGAAGAGAAGAAGGGAAGAAGCACCGTCTAGTAGTTTTCATCACTTTCTAAGGCTGTGGAATGAATTGTACTCTTTATGATGCTTCAGCTTCTCAAGTACATGACTAACACTTGAAAGAATTATTAAGAGACTTCATTTTTAATTGTACCTACTTGTTGGGTCTGTGACCCAATTAACTCATTCTTGTGAATGTATTAGAAGACCCTGTACCCTCTTAACCTCTCTTTTATAATTATTACTCTCACCCTCCTTGGAAGTGCTGTGTTGATTACACACTTAAAAGGAACTACTTTATAATACCCTCTTGATGCTACGTGGTTGCACTGTCCACCACTGGACCAGACAGTGAAGTCATAGAAGAGTGGTTCTTGTCTTAGAAGGTCTACCTGCATCCCCCTCCCTTTCTCTCTCCTCTCCTCGCCATTGCTCCACCACCTTGCCTTGCAGATTTTAGTCACACATTCCTGCTTTAATACAACTGGCTCTTCTCCCTTAAGGCCCAAAGAGCTGCCTTTTAACAAACACAGACCAATCAATAAATGTGTTTTATCAGTGTTGGGATTGTTGGCAGGTGTCTCACAACAAACATTACTGAAATTTCACCATCATTCCCTTTCTGCCCTTTCCAAATGAACAGTTGTATTTGTTCCTTCTTTCCTCAGATTAGGCTATCTGGCAAGTCTTCATTCAAGTGAGATCGATCCAGTTGGCTCATCCAAATACAGGGGGAGTGTGTGTCTGGGAAGTAGCTTTAGCCAAATGGTGTGAAGTTGGGTTCTTTCTGGTGATGTCATCTCTGACCAGTGTGCCTGCTTGGATCTTCAGGAAAGTTCTTCCACCATTTACTTGTTGCCATGTGGAGCTTGGTTCTACAGTAGACCTGGAATTTACAAAGATAGAATTTACTGCTGTAAAGGACAAGATGAGAAGTCAGTGCATTGCCTGTCTTGTTCTTTAAACTGACACTCAAACAAGTGTCTTCATGGAACTGCCCCCTTCCCTCTTCGTGGCACTCCATCTGTCACCTATTTTCTAACATTATTGATAGGGACAATTGCATGACCCACTGCAGTTCACTGAAAAAGAGGTATTGGTCAGATCATCCTAGAGATGACTGTAAGAAAATAAAAATGTTCTAAGATGATAATGTGTATCCCTGTCTACTTAGTTCAATCAAGGCTATGAATTATGTGCAGATAACTCATGGCACTTACTTTATTTATTTATTTATTTTTACAGTGTGAGGCTTTGGGGGAAATTCTAGCTGTACTCTCTTGCATTAGAAAGTTTGATGTGGAGCAGCAGGCATTTTTGTACAATATGGAATGGAAGGAGGGGAGTCATCAAAAAGACCAGAGAAAGTGCTTTCTTTAGCATACTTTATTTTCTATCTGTACCAAGAATCTGCACTTAGGAAAAATTTAACATTCAACTCAACCACTTTCTCGCTCATCAAGTATGGGTAAGTATGTGGCATAGATGGGTCAGGCTGTGCTGTGACCTGTAGCCATGGAAGAGGATGCTCAGCTGGACGTGGAATCCCTTTGCCTCCTCAGCTTTCACAAATGATCTTAAGAGAAAGGACATGAATGAAGATGGGCACCAGCCACATTCGGCTTGGGAGCCTCTGCTGTACACCTAGATGGGACCAAGTGACACGGATTCACGACTCAATCGTTTCTCACAGTGCTCTCTTCTTTTTGCCCAGAAACGGAAAAGATCGTCCTGGAGGCTGGAAATGGATTGCCATCCTGGAAGTTCAATGACCAGCTCTTTCCCTGTGACGTGTGTGGGAAAGTGTTTGGCCGACAGCAGACGCTGTCCCGACACCTCTCGCTGCACACGGGTGAGTTAGGACCGCAGCCACTTCACCTTGGCCCTCTGTCACAAACCTCTGCCCTGGCCGGAAGTGGGGTTTCTCTGAGGGACTTGCCACAGGAAGTGATGGAACTTGTCCCTCCTGACCTTGGCAAGGCCTGCTGCTTGGCCTGTGTACACAAGGCCCAGGAAAAGGCTGTTCTTGTGTATTGAAAGGGCTTGTTGAGTTTGAGTGGGAAAGAATAACACATTTGGACAGATCAGAGTGAAAATCCTGACCTCTATGATTTCCGTCTTAAAGCCTCAGAGAATGGCCTGCATGCCATGGTTCTGTGCTTTTATGCTATTGTAGTGGGAAGGGATGGGGGACCACCTTTGCATAGCAGTTTTTTGCCTTTAGTTCTATGAATGTATAAAGGTTGATTCTAAGGGTTGGAGGAATAACAAGGCAACCAAGTTAACAAGCAGTAAGAAGGAATGAGTAGTGGCATAATTACTAAAAATAAGTGAAGATGAAAAGAGGTGAGGTGAGGTAAAACCAACGCTGAGTGTAAAGCAAGAAAAAGTATGTCTAGGGGATATGTGCTATAGCTCAGTGCCAAAGTGTCTCCTTAGTGTGTGGAATTCCTGGGGTTCAATCCCCAACAGCAAACAAATGAAGTGATAAAATCAAGTATTTCAGTTATCATGGGGAAAACCAGACTTTTAAAATACCCAGCTATATCTTATTTATAGGAAGCACACACACCTAGATAGATAGACAGATAAATAGATAGATAGACAGACAAAATAACCAAGGTTGCTTAATATGGTAGTGTGTATCTACAATCCAGCATTCAGGAGACTGAAGCCAAAGAATCACAAGTTTAAGGCCAGTCTGAGCTCTACAGCAAACCCCCCTCCTCCACCCACAAGCACAAGGTGAACAAAAATTCAAAATAAAATTTTTTACATTGTACAAAATAAAGGAAGCATTAATATGACAAGATTCATTAGGATCTTTTTTATATTTTTAATCTTAAATTCCACTAAAGATAAAATTTAGTCATATACTGAGCCACAAGGAAACCTGTTAATGTATTTTTTTAAGTGGAAGTGTTACAGGCCACATTCTCTGAGTATAAGTAAGTGAAATTTAAACTGAGGATCAATAAAGTACCTGCTTAATTGGACCAATTAAAAGAGGAAAATCAAAATTCAAGCATCAGACATCTAGAAGGAATAAAGAGCGATTCAAGCCTCCAGCCAAAACAGCTATAGCTCTAGTCAGAGGGAAAAAAATGAGACTTAAATTAGAAGAGAGAGAGGCAAAAACTAAAGGAACTTGGCATTCATCTTAACAAACTGGTAAAACAACCAAAAAAATCTACAAGCTGGGCACTGGTGGCTCACGCCTGTAATCCTAGCTACTCAGGAGGCTGAGATCTGAGGATTACGGTTCAAAGCCAGCCAGGGCAGGAAAGTCCATGAGACTCTTATCTCCAATAAACCACTAGAAAACCAGAAGTGGTGCTGTGGCTCAAGCAGTAGAGCACTTGAAGAGTGCAGGGACAGCGCCCAAGCCCAGAGTTCAAGCCCCATAACCAACCAAAAAAACAAAAAATCTACATCAGCAATAAGTAGAAGTAAAGCAAAATCCCTTAAGCCTGAATAAGAATAGATGCTGTGGTTCATGTCTGTCCTCCTGAGCTACTCAGGCTCAGGGTTCAAAGTCAGCCCTGGACAGAAGAGTCCTGGAGACTCCATCTCCAATTAACCAGCAGCATGCCAAATTGGAAATGGGACATCGACGATGAGTAAGAAAGTTGAGCAAGAGCTTTAAGCTCTGAGTTCAGGCCCCAGTACTGGCCCAAGGGTAGGGGAGAGAGAACAGACAGAAAGAAAATAAAGCAAATACATTCAAAAGTAGGAAAGAAAAAGGCAAAGGAAGGCTAACCATCAATCCAGGTGATACCTTAAATTATCAGAAAATAAGGACAACTCATGGTGTTTAAAAAAAAAAAAAAAAAGCAGACAAGTTAGATGACAAGCCTTTTCAGCAAAATTGACCCGAGAGACAGGCACAATGAATAAATCAGTTACCAGGGGAAATTTGGAAAGAATCTTTTTAAATGATGGCACAAAACAGGAAGCTCCCAGTTCACTTAAAGAAGTATAACGTTAATATTAAAACTCAAGATCCTCACTTAGGCCAGGCACCAATGGCTACCTAGCTACCCAGGAGACTAAGACTTGGAGCATTGTGTTCAAAGCCAGCCCAGGCAGAAAAGTCCTCAGAACTCCCATCTCCAATGAACCAGCAGAACTGCCAGACTAGAGGTGTGTGGCTCAAGTGATAAAGTACCAACTAGGAGCAAGAGAGCTGAGCAAACATGAGGTCCTGAGTCTGAGCCTCGGTAACAGCAGATTACTAATATGAATGCAAGAATTCTAAAGAAATGATTCTACTCTGCCTGCACCTAAGTGTCCTCCCTTTCCTTCCACTCAGCAGGTGCTGGGGACTACCTGTAACAACAGCAATGCTCTATGTTTCATTGTAGAAACACTTGGTTTTTTAAACCATGTTCTTTTCTGTGAAGTAAATCTGGCAAGCCAAGCCCAGAAATACCAGGTAGAATTAGAGAAAGAAAATGAGGTTGCTGTTTGCTGCTTCTGCTACCTTAATCTGTTCATTAACAGCAAAGTCTGCTCCTCCTCCTGCAATTTTCTTGATTACTCGAATGAATTCAAAATGCAACTCTGGAAGCCATCCGGAAAACGTTAGTCAGTTTTATGAGTGAATTTCCATTAAGAAATTAATTGAAATTTTTTTATTTTATTTATGCAAGATGAAAATTGCCAATTAAATTATTTTATATGAGTCATTTTTCCCCTTTAATTTCATTAGTTTTTATTTCTTCACTGACCCAGACCTGTAGCATAGGGAAAGTGATTGGACCTCACTCTCCAGTTGCTTCTTCTAGTGCTGGCTCAGGACTCACCCACGATGGATATGTAGGAAGACAAAAACACATGCGGACACATAAACATACACACACATAGATGCATACATATCCAGGCCCATAAACATATACACATCCACATACATGTGGATATACATACATATATACATCCACATACACTCATGCACATGTGTGCACACATGAAAACACAGACATGACTATGATGCATTGCCTATATTTATGCACACATGTGTGTGCCCTAAGACCGATGTATGTGCACGTGAGTGCATACACGCATGCACAGTACGCTGATACACCTGCACATGTGTAAACAGACATGTGTTGCACACGCATATACACATACACATATGTTCACACACAGTATTCTTTGGCCGCCTGTGAGGCCCACGTTGTGATAAAGAGTGGCTGTGCATGTCCAGGAGAAAACAGTGGAACAAGACGGCAGGGCAAAGGGAATGGGAGACCTCCGAGGAGACAGTGAGGAAGCGGGCCGTCCCTGCACCTGGTGCTCTTTCGTCCCTGCCAGGTTGTTGTTTGTGCTGTATTCAACCATGTATCAATATTTGGTGTGATCATTTTAAAAAACGAAACAAGAACAAGTTTCCAGCTCACTGCCAAACCTTGCCTTCCAAACCTTGCTCTGGAAATCCGTCCTCTTATATTTGGAAGCACTAACAGAGGGGTGCAGACCACTAGGTAGACTTAGAGCTGTCGGCCCCAGGAAGTGACTTTGCCCTCACCTGCAGGGAGATGAGCCATGCTTCCCTCGCTGCGCTGCTGTTAGACCATCTCCCACCACGACTGTCATTCCTATTTTCTTAAGCTTATATATATATATATATATATATATATATATATATATATATATATATATCAACTTGGGCCTGGCTTAATTCACTTAATATAATTTTTTCCCAAGTCTTTCCATTTCCTAACAAATGGGGCAATATCATTCTTTCTGATGGAGGCATAGAATTCCATTGTATAAATATACCACATTTTCTTGATCCATTCATCTACTGAGGGTCATCTGGGTTGGTTCCATATTGTAGCTATGGTGAGTAATGCTGTGATAAACATAGTTGTGCTGGTAGCTTTAGTATGGCCTAGTTTGTGATTGTTTGGGTAAATGCCCAAAAGTGGGATTGCTGGGTCATAGGGGAGCTCTATGTGGAGTCTTTTGAGGAACTTCCATACTGCTTTCCAAAGTGGTTGAATAAGTTTACACTCCCACCAACAATGCAGTAAGGTTCCCTTCTGGCCACATCCCCTCCAGCATCTGTTGTTACTAGATTTCTTGATTATAGCCATTCTAACTGGGTGAGGTGGAATCTTGATGTTGTCTTGATTTGCATTTCTTTTATGGCTAAAGAAGTTGAGCATTTCTTCATGTCTATTGGCCATCCTTCTTTCCTCTTTGGAGAAGTTTCTCTTTAAGTCTTTTTAAGTCTTATTAATCAGGCAGTTGTTTCTTTGAGGATTTGTTGTTGGGGGATTTAATTTTTTGAGTTCTAAGTATATTTTAGATACAAGACCCATTAAACTTAGTTTTAAATAGTTATCTTTAAGTAGCTATACAAAGGAGTTGCCATTGGACAACACAATTTACAAATTTGCTGCATCTTGATTGATGCCACCCTCTCCATACCCTCACCCCCCTCCACTCCACCTCTTTCCTCACTTGTCTTAATTGTGTACAATATGCATTGAATTCTTGCCTGCATTTCCCTCCCCTCCCCCATCTCCATTTGTCTACCCCTCTCCCCTTACCCCCACCACACCCCTTTCAAAAATCAAAAAAGAAAAAAACAGTCAACCTTGCCAGGAAACGAGTACTTCTTTTATTTTTGAGAGCAATGTGGGTGTTTTTTTTTCCTGTTCCCTCTCCCCTAGAGGAAAGAAAATACAAATGTCACCTGTGCCCCTATGCTGCTAAGTGCCGTGCGAACCTGAACCAGCACCTGACCGTCCACTCGGTGAAGCTGGTCAGCACCGATGCCGAGGACATTGTCAGTGCCGTCACCTCAGAAGGCGGGGATGGGAAGAAACACCCGTATTATTACAGGTAAGTAGAGCTGGGGCCAGTGTCCCTGTGCGAACCCCCCTTCCCCTCTGCTACTGCCGTGTGGCAGAGCCCCTTTCCTCAATCATTGCTGGCCCTCGTTTCGGGCTTAGATTGAACTCTGCACCTACACCAGCTCTGCCTTGGCTCCAGTGCCTGGGGTAGAAAAATTGAAGGAGAAATTGTTATGGAGGCCACGCTGTGCAGTCAACCACCAGAGAGTAACTAGACTCTGGGTTTGGTTAGCTGGTCGGTTGGTTCGGCTCACACTTGTCATCCTAGCTACTCAGGAGGCTGAGATCTGAGGACCACTGTTAGAAGTCAGCCTGGGACAGCAACAGTCCATGGAACTTATCTCTAATTAATTTTTAAAAATCCAAAAGTGGAGTTGTAGCTCAGCCTTGAGCACAAACACTAAGGGACAGCGTTCGGGCCCTGAGTTCAAGCCCCAGTATTGGCACATACACACACACACACACACACACACGCATGCACGCACACACACACACACACAGTGTAAGAAAAATGAGGAAAACAAAATCCGAAAACTCCATGGAAAGAGCTCAGAAGGTATTACCTACTGTTCTTTGATTGCTCTGAACCTGAAGTCAGTATTCCCATTTCATCCTTCATAATCCACCTTTAATCAGCCTTTATTTTGATCACTTTGAGGCCCCAGGTTCCAGGTTCTGCCAAATCTTAGCCATAGAGATACTGGTAGAGAGGAGCTTCTCCAAGGTGTCTCAGTGCATGAGTTAACAGGGCTGTGTCTGGCATGGCGTGGCACCGGACAACCTCTGTGCTTTCCTGAGGCAGAGGGAGACACTCCAGCGGGGACCACTGGACCAGCACTAAGTACTTGGCAAGGCCCCATCCCTTTGCCCAGAGGAATCAGGCTATGTGCAGCATCTGGAATCTGTACTTTTTAATTAACTTGATGATGATTAGCATTCTTGCGGCATGTATGGAATTGCTGCATTATGCTGGCACCTCATCTATTTGGCATGGTGACCACTCAAGCGGCATTCCACAGGATGGGAGAATTTTCTAATGCAATGCCCTTGGGTAGCGAGGAAATGAAATGCATGTGAACGCTCCGGTTTCCTTGGTTGTAGCACAGTCTTACCTGTAAGAGTCTCATTCTTCCTTCCCCGCCCCCTTGCTGCTTTTTGCATAGCTGTCACGTATGTGGATTTGAGACTGAGCTCAATGTCCAGTTTGTCAGCCACATGTCGCTCCACGTGGACAAGGAACAGTGGATGTTCTCCATCTGCTGCACGGCCTGCGACTTCGTCACCATGGAGGAGGCAGACATCAAGGCCCACATTGGCTCCAAGCACACAGGTGACCCCCGTTCTGTACCTGTTGGACTTTTCTTTTTCCCCTTTCAGTTCTGAGGCTCTGACTCAGGGCCTTGTGTTTGCAAGGGGGGTGCTCTCCTCTGAAAGCCGTGTCTCTAGACCCTTTTGGCACTGGCTAGTGTGCACTGCATGAGGTAAGGTCTCATTGGCTGCCTGGTCTGGTCCAGGCCTGTGATCCTCCTCCTTGTGCTTTCCCTGGGCCCGGGCCACCACATCCAGCCATTGGTGGAGATGGCATCTCTGAAAACTTGATGCCCAGACTGGTCTCAAATCACCCTCTGCTTCTGAAGTAGCTGGGATTACAGGCTTGGACCACTGGACCAAACCTTCTCCATCTCTTGCACCATTGGAAGTCAACCACCTTCCAAAAGTTTTGTCACTACCATAAGAAAGACCTTGACATGTCCTTCCATAGAAGGGAGGGCTTTCCTTGAGCCCATGACTGAGTCTCCTGTTCTGGCGTCACAGTGCCGTGACCTGGCTTAGTGTGGGCCCCGCTGACCTGAGTCCAAGTGTGCTGTGAGAGCGCAGCCGAGCTGCAGGCCTGTCCTTGTCTGCTTCCTGTTCTCACCAGCATGCACTACCGCTGCTGACTTCTTTCTCTGCCCGGGGCTTGTGTCTTCGCAGGCTCAGCAGCCCTCTGAGGTGAATGCTGTAGTGATCACACGTGGAGAAACAGAAGCTAGACTGAAAGTGGTCAGAACAAACAGGGTGTAATAGATTTGGTTCCATAGCCTGCTCACTGCTCAGATAGCCAGCCCTACAAAATGCACGGCCAGAGCCTTGAACCTTTCTGCTGTGTTGTGCTGTGCTGTGGTACTGCACACCTAATTCCACAGGCTCTGTTTCCTTCTCTGGAACCTGTGGTCCCGATGCTCTCCGTGATGATGCACGGCAGCTCTGTGCAGAGGCAGAAGAAAAGAATCTAGACTTGGCCAGCACTTGCCTTCTGCTCAAGCCTCGTGCCATCCTGGTTAACTTCTTCTATTTAAAGATGTTCACGTTTTGACTTCACCGTGCAAGCTAGGGTACAAATGACACAGGCCTGGAGTTGTTAAGTGAAAGTGAGGATGACCCCACTTCACGCCACATTTGTGGTGCTTACACATTAAGAGCTGATGGTGCTCACTGCCAGCCCTGGGTATTGGGTCAGCCCCTTCCATTGCCAGCTCTAGAAGAATCTGGGAGGGGAAATTTCCATGACAGTAGTGCTGATGAGGTGCACGGCCGATTTCTGTGCATCTCCGACCGAGCTCGTTGGTGCCAACGTCAATAAAGGCTTGTTTCTGTCCGTAAATTGAGCAGCTATGACTTGGGGGTCTGCAGAGAGTCGTTATGCTGAGTGAGAAGGTGCCATTTTTACAGTCGGTTGTCTGACTGTAACCACATTAGCGTCATGCGCAGTGGGTGAGCTGGGAAACCCAGGTTGAAGGCAAATTAAATTCAGCATTTCTGAAGTGGCTAACGGAGGAAAGGCCGGCCTTCCTCACCTCCCTTGTTTTCACTGGCTTTGTACATTCTCTCTCTCTCCCTCCCCGCCCCCCCTCCCTCCTTCCCTCTCACTGTCTCTCTCTCCTTCCTCCTCTCTTCTGTTAAATCCTCAGTTTTCTAGCCCTCTTCACCCCAAATATTCCTGACTTTTTGTCCCATCCCATTGCACAGCCTTCTCCCTAACCATCCTATCTTAAGAAGCCGTAGAAATGTCTAGAAAGAAGCTGGGGTTAGCACCATTTTCACCAATGGAAACTACATGTTTACAACTAACTTCTGCGACCTCTCTTCCTAATTAGCTAGGGCACACTGCCAGGGTCTCACTCCCCTCTGAGTGAGACTTCATGGACAGCGACAAATATTCTCATTTGTTAGTTCTGAAAGCCAAGAGTGACACGCATTAAAGAGTTTCTTTTGTGATTCAGTAGAAACTCTTAATGCTATGACCATTAGAATAAGATGGAAAACATTTTTACAAGCCTACAGACTTTTTATATTTTTTAAAATTTAAGGTGATTCAAGGTGTAAGGGATGTACAGAGGGATTACAGTTCTATAAGCCAGGTAAAGAGCGCATTGCTTTTTGGACAATGTCACCCCTTCCCTTGCTTTCTCCCAGTTTTTCCCTCCCATCGCAAGTTGTATAGTTTATTATATAGTTCATGAGTATCATTGCTGCATTTGTTCACCCTGTGTCCCTCCATTTTTTGTGCCCTTCAATGGACAAATAAGACAAAAAGAAAAAACACAAACAACAAAGAGAAAAAACCCTCTTGTTTCCATTTCCCAGAGTTCATTTCAATAAATATTATTTTGCATGATCAGATGCACATAGGCTGTGGGCCTTTGCGTTCTTCTGAGAGTGTCCTCCTCTGGTCTCACTGTGTGTGAATGCCTAGCATCCTGTAGAAATAGGGCCAGAAGTCAATGCTTTGGGCTTTGATATCATACAGCTTCTGTCATTATGACTCAGCTTTGCCATTGGTACTTGGAAACAAGTGTGGCCTAAAACTTCATTTATAAAAAGAGGAAGCTTGTCTGGGCATGGGGCTACAGTTTGCTGACCACTGTATCCAAATTAATAGTTTCACAGTGGAAGTTTCCTATGTTTAGTAGTGTTTTGAGGTGTTTGAATAACACAGGATCTACCACTTAAACCTGTACATGAATGAGCTGTATTAATGTAAAATTATATAAAGCAATATATTACAATATATAGATCTAGAATAGGGAGCCTGTCTTATGTCATTGCTTATCCAGTGCCTCAATCTGTACGGTGTGAGGAACAAAGGTTCGCTCACTGAGTAGGTGTAATGTATGTGGCCAAGCTCCCCTACATACCTGTGCTTGATGAATAGGAAGATAACTCACACTCCTCAGGCCTTGCTTAGTCCAGCTGACTTATTTATGTAATCTGTGTGGACGAAGTTACTTGGTATGGAGGAACACACACTTGGGTTCTAGCTCTGGGTTGTACGTCAGGTTCCATGAAAATTGCATTGTAGTGTAGGAACATGACACAGGGAGTATGATTAATTCATATTTTCATGCATTTTTGAGCACTGTCTGCATGTAAAACAACATAGGAAACAGTATGTCATTATATTTTATGAATGGTATATATATATATATATATATATATGTATGTATTAAGCTTTATATTAGGATGATAGGGCTTAATCTCTTCTGTAATGTCATAATGCAACTAGACATTGCTTTTCCTGCTTTGTGTATAAAACCTCAGCTCCAACTCTCGGAAGAACAAGATGAGACAAATGCTACTATCATCCCCACTTTACAGACGTGATTACTGACACAGTCAAGTGCCTCGTTTGGAGTTATGAAGGGGACATCCTATCCAAAAGGCAAAAAGGACATGGCTCAAGTGATAGAGCATTTGTCCAGCAAGCATGAGACCCTCAGTTCAACCCAGGTTCTGGGTGGTAGGAAGACTTCAGCTGGCTACCTAAGTGCACTGGTGTCCTTCTCCAAGGATCCTGTGATACCTTGGATTTAGGTAGCCCTGGCACCCTGCAATCACTGCAGAAGCGGATGGGAACTGAAAGTGAGGGAGGCTGTTTGAACTGGGAGTTGGCAAATCAAGCAAGTTGGGTCATACTCCTAAGCTGTATCAGAGTGATTGATGTGGCATCGTGAATCTTCATAAATTTATCAATTTAGGCAACTCTTCTCAATGTCTTCTCTTAAGCCTCAGGACATTTAAATCTTTGTTTAATAGTAGTAAGACAAAATCCCAAAAATGTGAAGAATCTCCTATAACAAGCTGTTCAAAAGCTCAGGCTTAGAAGATGGATTTGGAAGAGTAATACCAGCAAACAAGGGACCCCTTCTATTTGTGTACAAAATGTGGCTTGGCTGGTTAAATGTTTAGACAAGGGACTGGCAATGGTGGTAGTAGCTTTCACAAAGCTTCACTGTGCCAAGGGAAGGCTGTGTATTCTGAAGGCATACCATCTTTTCTCATGGTCAGTGACTCAAGTCACACACTGCCTGTCTAGGAGTCATGTCTAGTTCTGATAGGAATGAGATTTTTTAAAACATTGTGAACTGAAATATGAGTTGTCTGCAGTCAACCCTAAGTATAATTCTCATAGGGATAGGATTCTCTCCCTCTCTACTCTCCCCTTCCCTCTCTCCCTTTCCCCTTTCCTCTCTTTCTCTCTTCCTCCTTCCCCCCCCCCTCTCCTCCAAGGCCTTTCTAAGCACATGCTTATCATTGAGCTATATCCCTGGCCCCACTTTCTTTTTAAATACTTTCTTTAATTGAATAAGTAATATATGGCTAGCCCAGAAAAATTTAAAGACCAAATAAAATGATCATCACACTAATAACTTTAGGTTCTAGTCATGATCCACCATTGCAGCTTTTTTTCTTACATTTATGCCTAGACATAAACTTTTTAATCTAATAGAACAAGGTCCCAGAATTTATAGTCACTACGTTGTTTAATGGACTGGTAAGGAGGGAACCAGAAAGCAGTCTTCCATGTTTTCTGCCCTACTCTAAACTGTGGACTTGTACTGAATCTATAAAACTGTGAGGAGAATTGAAATCTTAACAATTCCAATTTCCCTAGGCCAGTTTAACTCTCCAGTTATTTTGGCATTTATATTATACAGGTTTTTGCTTGTTTGGGTGGTACTAGTGATTGAACCCAGGGCCTCATACCTGCTAAGCACTCCACTATTTGAGCCTTGCCTCCAGCTCCTTTTGCCCTGGATATTTTCAAAATAGGGTCTCCTTCTGTGCTAGAGCCAGGCTGAGCCTGTACCTGTGCCCACCACACCCGGCCTATCTGGGATAATAGGCCATACCATCATCCTAGCCTTTGGTTTAGATGGAATCACTTGAACTTTTTTCCCTGCTTGGCCTCAAACCATAATCTCCCAATTTCTCCTGCCCAAGTTGCTGATATTATAGGCTTCATACTCAGCTCCCTATAATGTCCATTTATAATTTTTCCCATGTAGCCTCAAGGGGTTCTACCACTTCACACACCAATCAGAACTCAACCATAGTAAGCTTCCATTTCTCACATTAGCCTTCATGTTATTGTGGTCAAGTTTCAGCTTATTGCATTTACTATGAAGCTTACAATGCATTGGTGTTATTTTTGCTTTAAAAATTACTTTTATTACCCTCCAGAGACATTTCAGTAAGAAAAAACACGAACTTACTATTTCATTCTGTTGTGTAGACTCGTTTATTTGTTGTCATTTCCTTCTGCCTCAAGGACTTATTTTCAATGTTTCTTTGAATGCAAGTCTTCTGGTGACTAGTTCTTTCTTATTTTTTAATGCCACCTCTTTGAAGGGTGCCTTCATCTTGGGAATATGTTTGGAACTTCAAGTTGACAAGCTTTTAGTTCTTTACAAATGGTGTCCCACCATCTCCTCCCTTGCATTGTTCCTAAGGAGAAATCTGCTGTCTTCCTTATTTTTTGTTCTTCCACATATAACATAGCTTTGTATCTTTGCTTGCTTTTAGGACTTTTTTCCCCCTTTTAGTTTTTTATTTTGTGTTTGTCTTTCTGAGTTGATTTTTATTTCTTTTTAGTATGCTGCCTTTATAAAGGCAGCATACAGAAGGGTTACCATTACATAAGTCAGGTGAAAAGTACATTTCTTTTTGGATGTCACCCCTTCCCTTGCTCTCGGTCAGTTTTTCCCTCCCACCCTCACCTACAACTTATATAGTTCATTTTCCACATAGTTTCTAGTGAGTACCACTGCTGCATTTGTTCACTCTTTGTTTTCTGGGGTATTGTTGTTTGTTGTTTTCTGAGATGAACCTTACTATGTAGCGAAGGCTGACCTCAAACTCTCCCTTCTCCCGCCTCAGCTTTAGAGTACTGGGATTGCAGGTGTACACTACCTCACCCAGCTCAAGGACTTTTTCTTTAACCATTTTTGAGCAATTTAATGATAATTATCTTTTGGTACAGAGTTCTTTATTTTTTTTATGATTGGGGTTTATTGAGCTCCTTAGATCTTGGGTTTTTTTTCTCAAATTTAGAATGTCTTTGTCATTTCAAGTGTTTTATGATACCCTGTTTACCACATGAGAGGTTCCATTTAAACTTGTATTAAGCTTCCTGAATCACTGAACCATTCAAAGGTTCTCTGTTCATTTGGAGGAATTGTTTTGTTTCCTTTCAGATCTTTCCTGTAACTTATCTTTGGGTTCACTAGTCTTTTCTTCAACTGTGTCTAATCTGCTCAGCCCATCAGTGTGGTTTTTCAATCCTAACATTGTGATTTTCTTCTGAAGAAAATGATGTCCTCCATATCTCTTCTTAATTCTTTGAATTTATAATGCCCTTTCACAGGTTTTAGTAATTGTGCCAATGATAGGTCAGTTTTGATTGGTTGATTTTTTTTTCTTCTTCCTAATTTGAGTTGTGTTGTTTCTTTGCATGCCTGATAATCTTCATTCCAATACTAGGAATCATTTTACCATGTTGGGTGTTTTGTACCTGATATTCCTATAAGTATTATTGACCTTTTTCTAGGATACAGTTAATTACATAGAAATTTTGATCCTTTTGTGGTCTTTCTTTTATGCCTTGCTAAACAGATCTGGATCATCAGGCATTGATCTATCTAGGGCTAATTATTAGCCATTACTGAAAGCTATTCCTCAGTTTTCTACCTAATGCCCTGTGAGCTATGTATTTTCTGACCTGCTTAACAGAAACAAGCCCTCTGTTCAACCCTATGTAAGCAACAGGCACTGTCCTCACTGTTTTTTATTTTTATTTGTTTTAATCTTATGCACACATTGCTCTGATGCATGCTCTTCTGAGGACTCCAGGAGGACCCTCTGTTTTCAGGCCTTCTGCTGGCTGCTCTTACTCTTTTATCTTCAATGTCAGCTTGTTGGTCTCCCCAGATTCTCAGCGCTTTCTCCTCTAGTAAGGGAGTCACCTCTCCTCTTTGTTCCCTGCAACCTGGAATGTAAGTTTCTCAAGACAGGAAGCTTCATTAGCCAAGGGCTTGCCTCTGGTATCTAGTCTCTCAGGGGCCACTCTTCAGCATTGTATCCAATGTAGTACACACTATTGTTTGATATACTTTTAACTATTCATTTTGTTTCGATCGCAAAGTGAGATCTGGATTTTAATGGCCTGTTGTATGTGGTTGGCTTTGAGGGAAAATCTCAGGTGCTTGATGAACATGGATACTGAGTCATACCTACTCCATCCTCTTCTGCACCTTGAATAGCCATGTGACCTAGGCTAGGTTTACCCCTCTGTGCCTCTATTCCCTCAATCTGCAAAGAACCCTCCTGTGGTACCTATGTGTGCATAGGAGCTATTCTGGTACTGAAGATTGCTTTCTAGGCCATAGCCATACTAAGCATGTGCCCTAAGCCACCCCCACTCCTAGGATTTTTGAGAAGATGAAATGAGACAGAAAATTTGAAGCATAACATATTCCTGGACATGTTCTGTACAGCTGACCTATTGTTGCCATTGCATTTTAAATACTTTAAGACCTCAGTAAACCCTTGTTAAATGGGCGAATACCTGACCTTGGCCCTAAGTATCACCCATGCGCTCTATGCAGGTTCACTAGAACCTGAGGCCCACCCCCAGTGGGCACTCAGAGAGCTGTCAGCATTGGACAGTGCCTCTGGAATAGTGATGCACTCAAGACCCACTCCCCATCCTCAACTGCTGTCATTTTGGTCTTTGTTTGTTTTATTTTTTTTATTTTTTTATTGTGAAAATACTGTACAGAGGGGTTACAATTACATAGGCGAGATAATGAGGTCATTTCTTATCAAGCATTATAGCCTCCTCCTTTGTTTCCCCTTCGCATCCCTTCCCAGCCTCCCCCCCCCCCCCCGCTGTCATTTGATAGCAGCTAACAGGCACGGCGGTTGTCGTTCTCAGGGGAAGACAGGAAGACCCCCAGCGAATCAAACAGCCCTTCCTCGTCTTCCCTCTCAGCGCTGAGTGATTCCGCCAACAGCAAAGACGACTCCGATGGCTCCCAGAAAAACAAGGGTGGGAACAACTTGCTGGTCATCTCTGTTGTGCCTGGGAGCCAACCCCCACTGCATAGTGAGGAAAAGCCAGAGAAAGGTAAGGGAGGAGCCAGACATGGCCTGCTTAGTCCTGCCCACTCTTGGATGACCCCGTCTTGAGAGGAAGCCCTGGAGAGGAGCCATGCCAGAAAGTAGATGTTAGGATCAGGTTATAGGGTAATGTGCACTACTAGACATTTGCATTTTATTTCAGCTTGATTTACATCCAAATACAGGGTGGAAGGATGGGCGGGTGACAGTGTATGTTTTAATTCCTTTTAGTACAAGAGATTCGAGACACAGTGTCCAGAGGGGCCAGGGACTTGAGGGAAGTTAGGCCCACCTTTCCTGTCCCCCTACCCCCACGCACCTCTACACCCCGCTTCGGTCCTTTCAGGGTTCGAATGCGTTTTTTGCAACTTTGTCTGCAAGACGAAGAATATGTTTGAGCGCCATCTTCAGATACACCTCATCACCCGGATGTTTGAGTGTGACGTGTGCCACAAGTTCATGAAGACCCCTGAGCAGCTGTTGGAACATAAGAAATGCCACACTGTCCCCACTGGTGGGCTCAAGTAAGGAAAGCAAGTACAGAACCTTTTACTGCGTTGTTATTAAACCCCCTGTCCCTGCCCCTGCCCCACCTCTCCCTTGAAGTATGTGGGGATCCTGGAGAAGGGGGAGGTTGGTCTGAGGGGAGTGAGTCAGGAACTTCCACTACCATTATCTGGATTGAGGCAAGCCTGTCTCCCAGGGGAGGTCAGCAGATATGAGCAGGAGAAGTCATGTGAACACCGTACCCTAGAGTCAAGCCAAGGAGGAGACATAGGTCAGAATAGCATACAAGACTACGCTCATCCCTCCTCCACTGTTCAAGTTTAGTTCAGACTTGATGGGAGTAGACTTGGGTTAGGCATCCATCTTTACCCCCTCACTGCAGCTTCACATGTGTGGTTTTTTTTTTTTTCCCAATGACAACCTGCCATATAATTAACAGTTATGTGAGCATCACAACCACCTCACCACACTCCCCAAATTGGAACCTACCAGGCTGACCAGGCAAGAGGCCACGGTGTACATGCAAATATCATGGGCTTCGTAGCTTCCTGCCTTTGTGGAAAGATCTAGCTAGACCAAGAATGTCATCCTTAACCAATATTTGCAAGCAGCCCTCTGGCCTCACATGAGACCAGTCAGTTATTATCAAACATACTATGTGTCTAGCTTGATAATAGGTGCTAAAGGGCACACGAGGAATAAAATATAATTTCCACCCTCAGGAAATTTATGTCTCTGCACTACTCGGATTGAATCTTCCCAGCAGTTCTGCAGTCAAAAACCCCCTGTTCACAAGGCACTTAGGGTTCAGGGAAGAGAAAGGACACACAGGTAGACACGGAAAGACACAATACCAAGGCATAATTATTAACTTTTAGCTGAAATGTTACAGAGGTAAAAGAATAAAAAGAATGTGTTTTGCTTCATACAAGGGGGAAAGAACTTGGTTTTGTTGTTTTTTTTACATTTTCTTCATTGAAATTCATAACCTTCCAGAAGTAGGGTAACCCCCCCACCCCCAACCCCACCCTAGCCCGTGGGTAAGGAAGGAAGACCCTGAAGTCAAGCATGGGGGGGTGAGGGTTGGCTACGCAGGCAGTCTACTCACAAACAGAATAGGCCCAGCACCCACTGTGGATCCCACTTCAGCTCCCTCTTGGGAGTGGGAAGGGGGACAGGGCATGGTGGGGGGAAGGAGGGAGGGTGGCTATACTCCAATCAATCAGTGGAGAGTAAGTGTCTAGCAAGAACGTATGAGAATTTGATTTGCTTTGTTCCCAATGTCCCTTTATAAATATGTGTCCTCATATTATTTTTTTAAGAAGAACCCTGTTTTTTTGTTTTTTTGCTTTTTCTGGATGGACTAGTGTCATTGCCTTCCCGGTAGCCTTCCCGGCCACGCCCGTTACTTTCCGGGCCATGCCATTTGTGGCTTTGCCAGTCGCCTTTCCCCCCTGGGGACCACGAGCCGCTGGGGAGAATGCACCATCAGTGATGCTTTGTCAGAATGAGACCACTTCCCGTGCAGTGCTGGCCGTGCCCCGCGTAACAGTGTATGCTCTAGGATGACCAAGTACAAAGTACTCTGAAAAACAAATTGCTAATGCCCTCTGGCTATGCAGCGAGTCTTGGTTCTGTTTCCTTTGCCATAAGACAGAATTAATTTGCCTGAGACAATGTCTTTAAGATAAATTCATGGGAGCACGGAGAACACAGCCCTTGGCTTGAGCAGCGAGAGGAAAGATTTGAGCTCTGGGTCACAGAAATATCCTTAACGTGAAACAGACCGCCGATGTCTCGATTGCTTTTCTGTGATGGAACTGCTTGTAAACTCTATATCCTGTTCATAATGCAGATCAAATAAGATTATACTATTATTTTTCTTTTGCCGTAGCTCAGGACAGTGGTGAGTTTCAGACTCCTCTAGGTAAGGCCCAGCTTGGCGTAGGGGTTGTGTGTGCACCTGACCTGGGAATGGGCTTTATATTTCTCTTGTGTGCACTCTTCTGTGAGCTGAGGTTCAGGGGCTAACGGCGAGCTTGGCGCTGAGGAGGCAGTGCACGGTGCACCGGGTTGTGTTGGGCTCTGCTGATCACCTCTCCAAACCCTCTGAGGACAGTCCCCTCCCCGTCAGGAGCCAGCCGAGGGCAGGGCCGAGGCAGCCGCTCTGGCGTCTGCAGACGCTCCATAGTGATCCTTCCGAGCCACAGCGAGCGGGCCAGCGGCCTGTGTACACACGCGCTCCCCGCCTCCGGCCGCCCGCTCTGGGCAGCTTGGGCGGGCTGGGGACCTGCGTTTCCCGAGCCACGGGGGAGGAGTCCGGGCTCTGTCCGAGGGGAGCCGCCGAGCCCGGTGCGGTGGTGATGGAGCTGGAAATGCAAACCCACCTTCCCGAATCTCCCACCACCACCCCATGCCTGGAGCGGACCGCTCGGCTGGCGAGCCCGCGCGCCCCCGAGGGCTTCCCCGGGCCGGCAGGCCGTCCCCGGCGCCCGTCCCGCGTGCGCGCCGTCCAGCCCCACCACGCACTACGCACGCGCTGACTGCGTCTCCTCACGGGTAGAGAGAAGCGGGGGCTGCCTCGAGGCTCCCCTCCTCCCTGGGCCTGGCCCTCCTTTCCCGACGGAGAGCCGCGCGCACACCCGTGCACACACGTATGCACGCATAGGGACACACACACACACAGGCCTTCTCCTCCTAACCGCCCCTTAATAAGCACGACTCTGACCCTGTGACTGTCTGCTGGAGGCAGCGCTCCCCCCAGCTGTTCTTTACCACCTCTCAGTCTTTCTGCGTGTGCTTGGTGTGGTGCATGAAAAGTCGATTCTTTGTGTTGCTCCGGTGGAGAGGGGAGGGGCGGAGGTTCAGACCTCGGCCCAGGCGCAGGGGGGAGTGGGGAGGGCCGGAGGGGGAGTCCAGCTGGCTCCTCCTCCCAAGTCTCTGCTCCCCTCGCGAGCACTGGCGGGGAGTGGGGG